TCACAGCACATAGTCATATAAAAATTACGTTAGAGTGAAAACTTCAATAAATTATACTTAATTAATCAGACTGACCGAGCTTCTTTGGTAATTATTAATAATAATCGATTAATGTACATTTTTTATCACATTACCAAAAAAACGTAATTGTTATTACTAATAACCGGTGATTATTAATAAATCCTGATTTATTACTTTAACCCTAAAATATATATATTACATATATGTGGGCGTGCTTATGTCATTGCTATTATCAGAAATATCCAGGGTTGCCCAGGAGTTGAAAATTTTTTTAAAAATTTTGTTCTGTGATTGACATTTAAAATATAAAACTAACAATTTATATCAAATCTCAATCACATCTCTCTCCCTCAACCTGTAAATAAATCATGTGAAAAATAGAGTGCTTTAATAATTTTTTTGAAAGAAATCAAAGCAACTCATTTTTTACTAATTTGTTGTTTAGTGGTGCATTTTTTTCAAAAACGTCAATGTTTAAAAATTTTCATATGTTATTTAATTATGCTGCGTCAAAATTGTTTAATTGCTGTATGTTAATGATTTAAGCTCTTTTTTTAAAAAAAAAAAAAGAAAGAAAGTTAAACATAGATATTAAAGTAAAAAATTCTTTACTTTTCCACCGATTTGAAATGATACAAAGATGTACGAGGAATGGAAATAATATAGCAAAATAAACAACAAAAGTACTAAATAACATCTATTCACTGAAATAATAAAATTATTTAATATCTAATAAAAAAAATTAAAACAGTTTTATAGTGTGGTGTTCTCTTATTCTTTAAAATCTCTCTCTTTAATCTCATTAAAATTGAATTCCTAATTAAAACTAGATAACGGTGATACGTGAATCAATGGGTAAAAAATGCTTATTATTTTAAAATGGGCTGTGTTTTGGACTAAGCCTTTGCAGACATGGCAAGTCCCCAAGTGTGAGAGAAATTTCATTGGTTGTGCCATCTAGTGGCGGTTCCCACTACCAAAATTTTTGACTTCTGAATTTATTCAATTCAAGTTCTCATCGGATGCTTAGTATTGCCGAGAGTACCAGAACCAAATTGATACTCAAGGGAACTTTTACATACCACACAATCATATGACATGCGTGCTTAGGATTTTCACATCGAGAAACCAGCAACCTTAGGTTTATGAGGTGGGCACGCTACCTTTCAGCCACCAAGCAGACTTGTTATTTTTATGGGTTTTACATAAACTTTTGAAATAAAATTTTCTTTCTATATTTTCATTTGTAAATGGATGTTCGAGTTTAAATGGAGAAACTACCAATAATGCCGGGCATTTTCCCTAGAGGATACAATCAGGCGACTGAACATTTTAGTTCTTAAGACGTACATGCTTGTTAGTAATATTTAATGCTCTCGTATTTACTTGTATTTTTATTATATTTACACGATCGCCTTTTCTTAGGTTTCTTTTGTTTGGTTTTTAAGTTTAATTATTTTCTGTTTTGAATTTAAAAAATTAACATTCTAATTTATTAAAGTTAGTTTTAGTTCTTAAATAGGTTTCTAAGTTTTACTTAAAATATTGTGTTTTGATTTAAGAAAATATTCAAAGTAGATTTTTTGATTTAAGATGTGTTACAGAAGTTTTAGTTCTTATAAGATTTTAACAGAAAATAATTTATGTCCTTGTTCCTAGTTCTTGTTCTAACAATTTATTCATATCTCCTCTCGTCCTAATTATTTATTCTTGTGGATGTAGTACTATTTTTAAGTAAAGAACAAATAAAATAGTTTTCGTGGACCACAAGTTTTTAATTTTTTAGTACTATTTACAAGTTTTTTAACATTAAAAAGTGAAAGGATTGTCTGAATTTTTCCACTCAATGTTTCTGATACTAAATGAAGAAAATAATTCTCTGTTTTTATCAAATATCAATACGTTGGATAAAATCCTTGTTTACAGGAATCAGGCTCTACTATTAAATATTTTTTTGTGTTTTGAGTGGTTGAATTCAAAGGATGTACGTGCTCTCGTCATATTACCTTTACGCACTTGTATGCATAGATTAAAATTACAATAGATACAATCTACTTTAGAATTTGAGTATTCTACACTGCTGAAAATAGGTATGAACGGTCATTCACACAAAATGTATTAGGTAAATGCATTCTATTATAAAGAGCACTTTTTTTTTTTTGATTAATTAGAATGTTTGTTCCTCTTTTTGTTACATTTTGTTTACTTGTAAAATTTTTGAAGTATTTATCATTTTTCTTTTTGCTCGTAAAACATAATCTGTAGGTACAATTTAAAAGTAACTATTTTCTTTATCAAAAAATTAAATAACTTCTAAATATGATAATGTTACATAATAACGGATTTTAAATATTTTGTGATTTTGCACGTTTATTCGAATTATAAATATATTGTGAAGATTTTATTCCCCCCCCCCATTACTTTTATGTATTTATTTATTTATTGTGCGTGATATGTTTTTTGCAATAAATATATTTTCTTCTCGACTAGATATGACTCAAACGATTTGTGACAAAAGAAAGTAAATCAAAAACAGCAAAATTAAAGAAAAATCACTAAAAATATATTTTGAGTTATATTTTTGTTTATATACTTGCATTTTTTGTGTTTTTCACATGATTCACCCATCGTGTAAAGGGGCTGATGCACGTTAAATCTGTTGCGGCTAAAACTCCTCCCGCGGTGTGGTATTTTGGACAGGAGGGTGTGTTCAGACGTCATCCTCTTCACTGGAATGTTGATCAAAATTACAAAGTCCGTCATCAGTAGCCCTCGTGTTTCTTCAAAGTGCTGCGTAAATAAAAAAAAAATTAATCATTCACATTATCCAAAATAATGCGTATAAAGATAAAAAAAAAATTTACACTTTTATAACACATTTGAATGAAAATAATGTTGAAAAATATAAATCCAGCTTTTGACATGCGAGTCAAAACGAAAATCAGGGCCGGCTCCTATTTTAGCTCACATCTTTATTTATCGCCAATTTGGTGAATTATTATCCACATACTGGATAGAAGTCCAAAACAGAAAAATGGGCTGTTGGCGCAATTTGGAGCAATTTTTTTCCTCCTTTGCCAAAGATCTGAACTAAAATAAGATTTTATCGGAACTCGCCGGTCTAAGTCGTAAAAACCCTGTATAGAAATACTTGAGGTAAGAAATACTTAAGATAAGAAATACTGCATGTAATTCTCGGCATTTCATATTCGATCCGAATAGCACATTTGTCACTTCTACAAAAACAATGAAAAAGTAAACGTTTCTCCACTTTCAATGGGCTCAATTCATGACGGTCACGTGATAAAGACAAACACGTGTTCTCCATTGAATTCAAAACAGACAACAAACTGATTTTACTCGTTGTTCTATTTGTAAAACTTGGGTAAAATTTCAAATTTTATAATTGGGTAAAAATGTTCAAATGTTATAAAAAAACAAATTTCTTCAAATGGATTTTTTAAAATTAAAATAAATCTTATTTTATGCATGTATTTTTAAATAAAATGCATTTTGTCTACCTATGTGTATTATTGTTGTTGACAAATTTGTATTTTTTAAGAGAAAGTTTCTGAAAAGATCAAAAGTTGGCAACAACGAAGCGCGTGAACTGATTAGCTGGAAACAGGATTGCTTTTATCGTGTGACTATGACGTCACATGAGATTTTAAAGTAATTGGCTAAAAACACGTGGTTAAACTTATCACGTGACTATGACGTCACATGAATTGAGCCCATAGACTTTTCTATGATTTCTATGATTGTGGCAATAGAGAGTATCTGTTTTGTTTTTTCCTAGTAGTTGTATGTAGAAACTTATTTAGCGATTTATAAAAGATTAAAAGGTTTTTGTTATGTAAGTATATTTATGGGTAAAATCCTAGTTTAGTTCACACCTGCGGAAACGGTGAAATGAAAATGGTACAAAATTGTGCCAATACCTCGTTTTCCTATTTTAGATTGCAATTCCATATGGCGCCAATAATTCACAAAAGTTAGCGATAAATGAAGGTGTGATCTAAAATAGGATTCAACCTTATTTTTTAAGGTGCTTACTTATTATCGCAACAATAGCCAACTCAATTAATTACTCGCCAAGTTGGCAACCCCGATTTCCTATGTGACGTACGCGGCAACCAGGTGCTTCGTTTCAAATAATGTCGTCAATAGGTTGCGATAATTACGTAAGTACTTGTTTGAAATTTAATCAGTAACCACTTCAGGTGAAAAGGCGGCTTAATTCCTCATATTTTTGCCCACTTTGAAAATTACTAAATTAGTGCATTTTTATTGGGTTTCTCTAAAATTAAGTTAATGTAGAGATTTCGCAGAGCGTAAAATAAAATAAAAGAAAATTTACTTGTTTATCTTGCCAGCGGAATTTGTTTATTAACCGCCAAAAATAATTTCGTTGTCAAAGGCATTAAACCGCGTTTAAGTAAAATTTTTGTATCACACCTTGGTGATGTAAAATTAATGACGCCTACGGCAATAGCTGCAATAATAAATTTAATTCCCCAAGTCGGTGATCAGTGCGGATATGAACTAAAAAAAAGAGGATGCAACAAATGTTACGTGGAGTGCATGCCAATTTTATTCGATAAAGATTCCATTTTGAATACTTATTTTGGTACCTCTTAAGATACTAATGCTTTCTCAACCCTTAGAATGTCTTAGTGGCATGTTTTTAAAATTGCCGAAAACAAGTAATATAAAAAGAAATTAAGCCAATTCCTACTTTGGTCAACAAAGAAACATTTTATTTTAATTACTTTTTATTAAAGAGTTACAATTAATATAAATATGTATATACATGTGACAGAATCACAATATTAAGTGACAAAATAGAAATCAAAATTTTCCATTTTCCTTTCAAAAAAGGACTATTTTTTGTTTGTTACTGTTTATTCATTAATTAAATTTAATTATTCTAATAAAATAGTATAACAAAAAAGAAATCACATTCTCAGAAATTAGGCAATCCCAGGTGGGATTCGAACCCACGACCTTTGGATTAGAAGTCCAACGCTCTACCTAGAGGCGGATTAAGCGGGTGTCGGACCTGGCGGCCGCCAGGGGCCCCCAGCACCGGGAGGAGCCCCAAGCTTGATGGATTCCACCAGTGGCGTAACAAAAAATATTAGTGCCCCCCTGCAAACTCAGGTTTGGGCCCCAAGCCCAAATAAAAATACAGAAATGGCCATATTATATACAGAATAAAATGTTTTGGACAAAATGGATATGGTAAAAATAATTGATGAATTTCCCTAAGAGAAATCAAAATGTAAGCTCTTAATTTTTTTGTATACAGTTAAGATTTTTCTTTAGCCGATGAGTTTTATTGTAATCAATACATTTTATTTTGAGAATTTAAAGTAAGTGACTCTCTTTTCACTATTTTAGTGGTTCGACTCTTGAGCCTATGGGCCTCAAACCTTTTACCGCCAGGGGCCTCCAACTACTTTAATCCGCCTCTGGCTCTACCCATTGCTCTACAGAGACGCAACGAACGATTTTCCTTTTTATATGTACTGTTGGACTATTATTTTTGTGTGTTACTATTTATTCATTCTTTAATCTATTTAATGAACTAATATTTGAAAATTTGTATGAACAACAAGTGCCATCCATTACAAGTTTTAAAAAATGTATTTGAACTTGAATGGATAAATAGAAAGTATTTTATTAACGATTGAAAATTTGAACAAGATACATATATATACATATATATATATATATATGTAATAATCCCCATTAATTATTCTTAATAACTTTTAATTACCTATGGTCCATCCCTTCAGGACCAACGTTTTAGTAATAAGTTAACCAGCCGCCTAACGGGAGTATTTTAAACTACACCTATCCACCCACTCAGATCATGTGATTTAAGCTGCCTATAAATACCGAGATTCCTGGATACCACGCTCTTTTTCTCTTTCGTTTTTGTATTTGTCTGCGTCAACATGTAGCCGGCTGCAGCTTGTGTTTGTGTGTGTGTATTGTGTCGTCCTTGTCTTTCTTTATGTGTTCAAGATGTATAATAAAGCAGCTTTAAATAATCACAGGACTGCCTCATCAATCCCAGCCAAAGAAACCACCAACAATAGCGATCATATTAATAAATCCATTTCAACATATTAAAGAAAACCAGTCCAACGGCCACGTCTATTTCATTTATATATATATATAATCGACTCTGGATAATTCGAAGTTGGAGGGACCAATGAAAAACTTCGAATAATCAAGAGTTCGAATTACCAAGAGAGTAGAAAAAACTAAAAAACTCCCAAAATACTCGAAGAAGATTTTTTTTCCTAACGCATTTAAGTTTGAAACTATGTAATAAAACAACAATTGTACATATGTATAAAGTTTTAAGGTAATTTTTAAAAAGTACATATTACAATATAAATATTTTTCAAAAGTTAATAGTCCTATATTAAAAGAATACAATTCATACAAAATCCAACGCATCTCTTCTTCAAAATAGGGGAATGTGTAGAAAGGCCATGTGTTAAACGAAAGATATGGACGGCTGACAACAGGTGTGGTTGGTTCACTTGAAGAAGGAAAGAAATAAAAGTGTCTTTTCACCTGATGAACCGGAAATCTCTAAGAAGGGGTAGCAGACAGATGGTCATTAAAGAAGCTACGTAACAGGGGAGACACGCAGAGGCAATACAACACAAATCTTGTATGCTCCAACCTATTTGCTAACAAGACTGTACATGCCAGTGAGTGTTCCAATTGTCGAGAGTTTTATAAGATAACTTCGTATTATTGCGTGTTGTAGTCTGGCCAGTCACAGATTTTACTTTGAATTATTGAGTGCACCCAAACGTATTGTTTTAGTTCGAAATATCAAGAGTTTTTCTAGGGACTGAGCATATACTTCGAATTATCGAGAGGTTCGTATTATCGAAGGTTTGAATTATCGAGAGTCGACTATATATATATGTTGTTGATTCTTATGCCACCTAAACTCGACCGCGTCAGATTCAGGCTCACGAAATTCATCATGGCAAGGGGCTAGATGTACGCCTGTCATTGGCCGTAATTTTGAGCCTCATTCAGGTGACAGTACGATTTAGCTCGGTTTGAGGGAGAACACCCTGGGGGAAGATCAGGGACCTTTCACCTTTCTGCCCCTTCCACCAACCTCACGAGAACTTGCGGCTCAACGGCTATTTAAAGTACCCCCATGCCGCAAAGCGTCGCTAACCACTATACCGGATGGGTGACTATATATATATATATATACAATTCAAAAATAAACACAAAATAGGAATAAACCTGATAATAAAAAGTATTAGCATATATATATGTAAATTAGATCTAAAATTAAATCCCTAGACCTCTTTTAACTTTTATTTTCCGTTACATTTTCAAGTATTAAATTGATTATTCACTTCTTCCTCTTGAAGAACACATGGGCCTAAACAGAACTTTTGTCTCCGACCATTAATTTTTATTACCTCGTATGTCATACTAAACTTTCAAATATACCTCTTCAAGAAGAAGTGTATTTGACAACATCTGCCTATAAGTGCTTCCAGATTCTAAGACTTGGTGTCCGTTTCTCTCTTAATAAGCAGACACCGAAATGTCTTCGTTGAATAAAAACCGTTTTTACAAAAAGCCTTGGTGTTGACTCGGTAAACACGACATATACATAGGGAGAGAGTGAACTAATAGTAGGAATTGAAAAAAAATCTGCATTCTGCACTAAATTTTAATCAATTTCCTATCTAAGAAATCGACATAACCAAATAATTACGATTTAATACGATTGTATGTGAAAAGGAATGTTGTCAATGACCACCAATTCTGTCTGAATTGTGAACTTTGACAAAATCGTAATGACAAGAGAAATAAGGTTATAGCAGAAGGGGAGCTTGGAGATTTCCTGTGATGATTGCAAGCAACAATGTAGAGTGTAGGGCACAGGGGTTGGCAACCCGTGATTCTTTGCATAGAAGGTTTGGAAGGTTGCATAGAAGGTTTGCATCAGTCTTTTGCCTCTATGAATTATTAAAAAAAAAGATAATTATGCCTACTGAAATTGTTTCCCTTTCTCTTTTTTCCTCATAACTATTTAGTGAAAAAATTACTTGCATTTACATATATATTTTAATTTTTGGCTGGCTTAAGATGGCTATTTAATATTGTTATTTCTGTTTTAAATTATTTTCCATTAATCTGGCCTTTCTCGTGCGAAAAACCGAACGGAATTTCAAGCGCAGGGTATCTCATACCCAAAGGTGTTTACATTCTGTTTTTATCGTAAAATTTGCATACAAATGAGAAAAAGAAACAAAAGTAGGAAATAAAATTATGTTTATTACACTTCTCACACACGTAAATTTAGTTTTTCTTTTTTCTTTATTAGGTCATTCAGTACATTGTTTATACTTCTTTAGTATTTGTCGCGAGTGAGTGTAATTTTTTTACTGGATCTTAATTCTTTTTTTTTTTAATAATTTTTTTTAATTTCGTTTCTACATTCTTTATATTCTTTTGTAAATCGAAATCCAAAGCACTTCAGAAATCTGCGTCTGGCTCAATGTTTAGTAGGTGGTTTCTGAATACTTAACAAAATAATTTGCGCATTTACTGTTGCAACGTTCAACAACACAAAAATTATTGTCATAGGCTAACGAGATTACATTTTCTAGCCATTGAATACGATATATATGTTCATATAATTTTATCAAAGATGATAATTGCTTCCTCAGTTAAATTTTCTGGATAGATTTCATACTTGCTATTATACTCTTCATCATCCGATGCTTCCTCTTTATTCCCGCAAAGAGACTTTCTTCATCCGAAAATACTGTTGTACTATATCTATTAAATAGTATATATCTATTAAATTATTAAATATCTTCTTCTTTTATAATTTCTTCATCATAATTACAATAATACGTCGTTGCATAAGAAAGATTTTAAAGCGTGATCATACATTTAGAACTGTAATGGCAATTCACGCGCAGGGTATGACATACCCGAAGAAACGGTATCAAAAAATATATATTTAGAATTCGCCTTAAAGCTAAGACCCCTCAAAGGATATGTTATTAAAATCAGCTACACGAGAAACTATTAATTTTCCAAAAAAAGGCTTAGATGGAGTCTTAAAAAAAGTTAGGTGGTGGGTATGACATACCCTGCGCGAGAAGTGCCGGGTTAAACTAAGCTTAATAAGAAACAATGAAAGTATTACAATTATTTATAAAGCAGTTGAAGTTAAATTTGTTCGTAACAATCCCACCACACTCTACAACCATGTCACATGCCTTCGTTTTAATCGGGGAAAGAAAAAAAATCGCTTAATAGTTGTTCGTTAAATCGGGGTCCAATATAACGACCCCGTTACAATATATATATATATATATATATATATATATATAACTGAAGCGTGATTGAAAGCACTATTTTCCTTTGACCTGAGCGTGGCCGTGGTAGCCTAGTGGTTATGGTCACAAACTCGTGGCTGGAGTGTTACGGGTTCGAGTCCTAATGCCACTGAAGACCCGCCTTGCAGAGGAGACTTATGCATGGAAAATCTGTCGAGTCTCAATGTCCTCCTGTTGGTGTGGCATTTAGGAGAGAGAATGGTGTCGTTCTCGTCACTCTACCGAGGTTCAAAATTACGAGGTCTGTCGCCAATAGCACCCTCGTGTTGCTCACAGTGTGACTTTAATATAACTCTTACTCATTTTAACCTGTGTAGATTTCTCTAGTTACTTAGATACGCAAATTTTTCTTGTATTGACAGAAACTAGAGCGTTTATTATGGAATTTAAGCATTCGCAGTGGCTTGTCTTCTAAATTGAATAGGTTAAACTGGCTCTTCATTAACTTAACTATGGTCCGCTTACAATCATTTGTAGAGCGTGAAGTTGTTCAGTGAATAATCTTTAAATATAGATGTCATCGAAATAAAATATCCGTAATTTTAATTTTAAACATTTTAAAAAAAGGGGGAAATATCTTTCATATATTTCCAACACATTAAATCAAAGCATTAAACAAGAACTCTGTATATTTTCAAA